AAAGCCGTATTAGGGGTAAATCAGCTGACAAGGTAGCAAAAGCCCTAGGGATTTCCTGACGTATAGTTAAAGATATTCTTGCACAAGCAAAAAAGCATAGCTTTGACCCAACTACTCCTACCTTCTCTTTACTACCTGAGCACTATAATGATGCCCCCTAAACTAGCTAGCTAAAGAAGGTAACATAATTAATTAAAGAGCTTGTCTTATAAAAGGTTTACTGTAATTAATACAGTAGAGAAAAGACGTATACTAACATCGCTGGCAAGCTTTAAAGGGAGCTTAATATAGATATATTAGCCTTAATAGTCTACTAAATCCTTTGGCAATGTGGATTTAGAAAGACTAAGCTAACAAGGAAACCTGGTCTGTCTTAACAGATGAAACAAGATAGGCTTTCTTAGTGCCTAGCTTATTACTACTAGACTCTTAAAGATTAGAAGAAGGTTGTGTAGTCTAATAAAACATTAGTTATTTTATCTTATTGTTGTAGCAGCTACTGTCTATAGCAATAGGTCTATAAGGCCTATATAAAGTTGTGTATTTGTGCTTAATAGAAAGGGTATACTAAGTTTATGTTCTAGGGTTGCTTTATGTATAACAAGAAAGGCCCTTACCACTGTTAGTCACCTGAGTCAGCTGCAATACAACAAGAAGTAGCCGCTAAGGTTGAGGAGTTGAATAAGGAGTTAGAGCCAGTGAAGCGCCTTAAATGGGAACTGGAGAATAGGATGGCCTGGCTACAGCTCCAAAGGATCCTTGGCCATAAACCGACTTTTTGCTAGAACGCCTATACTAGCAAGTTGGTCTATAAGGGCAGAGGAGGAATCAACTAGTACTGTTACTAAAAGGAGATTCTTTTACCTAAGCTCTTCCTATTTATCACTAACAACTGCCTGCCTAGCACTATTATTTAAGAGGATAAAGCACCTTCCTATGATTATTACTATATCTACTACACGTACGCTGCCTATAATATTCAGAAGATGCTCTAGTGTAGTAATAGCCCTGACCTTAACCTAATTGAACCCTGCTGGCCGTAGATAAAGCAATTCACAACAAAGAAGGGCGCACCAGCTAACCAGGCTACTGCTGTAAAGGCATAGGAAGAGTGCTAGCAAGCACTACCTCAGGATAAAATCCAGGCTTGGATAGAACAGATCCCAGCCCATATTGAGGCAATCATTGCCCTTGACAGCGGCAACGAGTATAAGGAGGGCCAGCAAGCTGGCAAATACCAATCGGAGGTCAAATATAGTGAATAAAAGCCATCAAAAGCCTCAAATCTAGCTAACTTTGGCGCTCTTGAGGGTGCTCTTGGGGGTGCGAAATGCTGGCAAATGCTGGCTGCAATTACTTTTGGTGGGTATCCCTGCAATTACCCTTGCCACTTGACATGGGGTGGGCTTGGCATTCTCCGCAGGGACTATTGACAGGCTCCTCCGTACTCAAAGAGGAGCCAGCCGAGTCGAGCTCATTTAAGCCTGTGCGCCGAGTGGGCCATGCAGAACGTACCCACTCCATGCTCGGTTCCGCTTTCAATTGACGGGCCAGTGACAGGCCAAGTTCTGGACCTCGAGTACGGGGGGTTCAGTCGAAGCGGGGCGCCACGTGACCTTACCGCCCCCTGGTAAGGTGCTATCAGGGGGATCCATACAGGGGGGTCCAACTGCAGCGTTGCCTCCGGAGTCTGTAAATTCAGGGAAAGAAACTCCTATTCGGTCGTTACCTTCGTCAAAGAGACGTACGTTACACGCGCATCACGATACATGACCTGAGTAAACCGCTTCTCAGTTGCATACGGCAATCCGTCCACCATGCCGATGCGTCGCCTCATTACGAGGTCCCGAACGGACCGCGACAACACAAGCCTCCTCGCCCCCGACACCTACGATGACGATGCCTCATCCTTGCACAGCCGGAGCGACCAGGACAGCGACAGCGATGACGACCAGCTGCAATTGCGCGCCCGCAACAGCCGCGAGCTGCGCGCTGCTGACAGTCTGTTGTTCATGGAGGAGGAGGAGGTCGAAACGCTCGTCGCGGAGACGCGCAAGAGGCAGGAGTTGCAGCGCCAAGGGTCCGGTCTGGTCGTGCCGAACCCCCTGAAGCTGTTCGGGCGCGGCGCCGACGGCCAACGTCCCGGATCCAGCAACGGTTCGTCCGAGGACCTCTTCAACGAGAAGGACAAGCGCCAACAGCGCCGCTCCAGGAGGAAACAGAAGAAAGAGCGTCTGCTGGAGAAGGCGATCCACGGCGAGGATGGCGAGTTGATGTACGAGATGGAAGAAGGGGGCATGAAGGATGGCAGCTCGACCGGCGACAGCAGCGAACGAGACGATAGCGACGAGATCGACCGGCACCGACTGAAAATGGTGGCAGACGCCGAGACGGATAAGCGACGTTCTTGGCGCCGGTGGCTGTTTGTACACAGCATGATTGCCGTCGGCTTCGCGATACTCGTCTTGGTGGCGTGGAAGTTGTCTCTGGGGAGGAAGTCGGCGCCCAAGGTGGAGCTGGTCAGCAATGGCACGGCCCTCTTTGCGCCGACAACCATCATTATCAGCCTCGATGGCTTCCGCGCCGATTTCCTGCAGCGCGGCATCACACCGAGACTGAATGCATTCGTTAAGGAGGGCGTGTCGCCAAAGTACATGCTCCCGGCTTTCCCGTCCGTCACGTTCCCGAACCACTACACGCTGGCGACGGGCCTACATCCCGAGAGTCACGGAATCGTGGGGAACACCTTCTGGGACCCCGACATGCAGGCCGAATTCTATTACACCGACCCAGGGCGCAGTCTCGACCCCAAATGGTGGAAGGGCGAACCCTTCTGGGTGACAGCCGAGAGGCAGGGCATCCGATCCGCCGTCCACATGTGGCCCGGCAGCGAGGCGCACATCCTTGACGTCCAGCCGACCTTCTTGGACAGGTTCAACGGCAAGGAGGCGCTGGACAACAAGGTCAGCAGGATTCTCGAGTTCCTCGACAAACCCGGCATGGAGGATAAGACTGCCAAAGTCGAGGACATGCGGCCCCAGCTCATTGCTTCATACGTGCCCAACGTCGACGCCGACGGTCACAAATACGGGCCCAATAGCACCGAGATCCGCGTCACCATCGAGGCCACTGACGCCATGATGGATAAGATCTTCTTCGGACTCGAGCAGCGCAACCTGACCGGCATCGTCAACGTCATCGTCGTTTCCGACCACGGCATGGCCACTACGGACACAACGCGGCTGTTGCAGCTCGAGGACCTCGTCGACACCTCCAAGATCGAGCACACGGACGGCTGGCCTCTTTACGGGCTTCGCCCGAAGAACCCCGACGACCTTCAGGGGCTCTATGACGGTCTGGCCGACAAGGCCAAAACGAACCCCAACTTCGATGTTTATCTCCGAGATGTCAACATGCCCGAGCGCTACCACTTCTCCAACAACAAGCGCATCGCGCCCCTGTGGATCGTCCCCAAGGCTGGATGGGCCATCGTCACCAAGGACGAGCTAGAAGTGGCGAAGGCGGTGAAGGACGGTTCGGTTTACAGCCCCCGCGGCCTGCACGGTTATGATCACGAGCACCCCCTCATGCGAGCCATCTTTATCGCCCGCGGTCCAGCTTTCCCGCATCCTCCGAATAGCCAAATTGATATCTTCCGTGAGTAGAGTCCCCATTGCTTCTCTGCGCAGAGAGGTCAGACTAACGCGAGCAGAAAATATCAACGTGTACAACATCCTGTGCGACTCCGTTGGACTTATTCCCGAACCAAATAACGGAACTCTGCGTCTGCCCCTCTCACCCATTGGCGCTCACAAGCCCGAGGACACGCCGGCAGAGCCCGAGGACCCGGTTCCTCTGTACACGACTGCCACTTCTCAGGCTTCCCCTTCTCAGGCTACCCCTTCTCAGGCTACCCCTTCTCAGGCCGCCGCTCCGATGACGTCACCGGCAGTTCAATCAGCAACCCCGGTGAAGCCTGTCCAGGTGGATCCTGTTCCCTCGCCCTCGTCGACGGAGGCGGTGGCGACAGACGGCAACCAGAGCGAAGGGGGCGAAGACAGCCAGGGCGCCGATGAGGACGCCGTCCAGAAGGGCAAAGAAGCCATGAAGGAGATCTGGGACTGGCTCGCGGACAAGTTTGGCAAGGTCTGGGACAAGCTTAGCGGGTCAAAGGGGGGCAAGGAATCAGGAGAGACGGAGGAGGGGTCGGAATGATTTGCCCGGTTCGGGAATCGGCGTTTTGATGACTTTTGGCGTTCAGGATTGGGCGGCAAGTTTTTTCTTTGTCCCCATTGATACTCCCGGTAATCTGTGTACTCGATGTAAGCGGACCGCCATCATTCAATTTCTTTCCCTTACTTTTGTCCTCGACAAGTTCAGCCCTTCCTTCTCCGTGAACTTTGGTGTCCAGTCGATTATGACCTGTTTGCATGGACGGAATGAAACTCGACTGTTGATTGTTCCCGTAGGCTCAAACTTCAAGGAAATGCTGGCGATGTTGTGAGCAGAGCAGCCTTAGTTTCTGTTGAGAATGTGGCCGGACGGTGTGGGCACAGGATTGATGATTGTCAATGGCGGCGCAACGCAGAAGGCAATAGAGGGGCCAAGAAATCATGTAATCGCATACGGTCTGGTACTTCTTAAAACACTATGAGAAGCACTTATCCGAAACCACGCATCAGTAGATGGGTTCATTCTCGCCTCACGCTTTTGCTGAATTACGACTATCCATAGCAATATCTCGCTGTCGGGTGCTTCCTCTTGCGCACCACAAAGTCGCTGTGCTCAAGGCTGACATCCCGGTATTTCCTGGTGCGAATTGTTAGCTTAGCTATCAATGAGACTGTTTACACGACTTGCCAATGCCGAAATGAGAGATCTGCCGGTCAGTTGTGAGACTGGTGATTATGAACCCCGGTCAGCCGCTAATTCGATGACCGAACCAGACGGAGCCCTCAACATCAACGCCGCAATGAACAAAATTCTGGCTCGCGAAACAATTACTTATGGAAGCGCATGACGAACGCTAGATCTCTGTTGGATGCGACGTTCCTATTGGAGAGGACCTTGGGAGCGTTCGGGGTAGGATTGTCGCTTACGAGCCCGTGTTCGTTGACCATGTCCTGCTCAGCTCGAGGGCGTTGTTCGGTTGGCGGCTTGGTACCTGGTTCTTGGTAAGTCTGTACGTCTATTTGAGCTAAAAGCGTGTCTAACTCAGATGCAGGTCTATAACGGTACTGATACCTCCGTTCAGTGGGCGGGCCATTACCGGAACCAAACCCACCCCGTGCACGCAAAGCATTCATGATTTTGAGCTCGTTCTTACTTCAGGTTCGGGCGGAATACCAAACTGGACGAATGAATGATGAATAGGGAAGACCCCCTCCCATGGTTCAAATCCCTGGAGCGTCTGTCTTGCACAGCGGAGTCTGATAACAACTGGTGGACGCATTGTGAAATCGTCCCATTTGGCAACATCCCCTTTTCGGAAGATGCTCGTCCTGGGAGGTGTGTCGGCTCCAACAGCGGTAATACGATCGTACTCAGGGACACCGGGAACGAAGTCTCTGATGATGCGGACCTTTATACGAATGTGGATCGCAGGAATTACGATTCTGGGATGGCTGCCCTCGAACATAGGGACACGCCGCTCATGCCGCTCGCCTCTTGCGTCGTAATACTCCTGGATGGTGAGGGGAGTGATTGTTACCCATTCCCTGGCGTCACCGGGCTTCCGGAAAGGAGCTTGACTTCGATGGAGCAACACCGGGGCGCCTTTCCGGAGCATGCAGTCGACGCCACTCGAGTGTATGAATACGTAAGGCCCTTTTATTTCTGCTTCAGCCGTGTTCCAGTAGTCCATTGTTATGGAGGGTCGTGGGGACTGAGTTGATGTCTGTTGAAATCGATACACGGAAAACCGCTAGTGATATAATTCTACCAAAGGAGGGTTTCTAACACGCCAGATATGGCAAGTCAAATTAAAGGCTCTTGTTGCAACGATTGAATACCATCGTCCTGGCGGGGTGTTTGTTGAGGAAGACATCCCATCCCGCCTCTGCGGCCGAAGAGACAAGAACTGCTCCTTGGCCCATACGGGAAACAACTCAGGTCATGCTATAGAAACGAACCAGGAAAGATTAATGGGTGATATATAAGTCTCTAGCAAGTTGGAAGCGGCCTTTTGGTCTATTTCAGAGGAACGCAGGGAAGGCACTGAGCATGGATATCTTCACGGCACCACAATAGCCGCCATCGCAATTGCCACACTTTACAAGGTCATATATTTTTGAACAGAAAAAACACTCAATTGGTGACCTTATAAGAGAAGGTCCGAGTTAGTTTTGTCTTACTGGTCCCTAGATTGACGACCCAAACTCCAGCCAGCTATTTTAGTCACAACACTATGGTATCCAGTAGCCCTGTAATTCTCTGATGCAGGTCAACGGGTCACAGCTAGGCTCACCGGCGCCTATTTCCTCACTCGAAATCCCGGGCGTTGCTAGATGTGAGCTTCTTCTGCTGGTCATATCTCATTAGCCCGATTTGAGACCGAAGAAGTAGTCTGAAGGCGAACTATCAACAGAGAAGACATTCCACGATCGGCTATGCCACGAGATAGGAGGTTGTTCTTTTCCTGCCGGATGTATTCACCGTCAAACTTGGACATTATATGTTTCCATGTCATGTTGCTTCTCGTTCATCTTTACCCCCTAAGCCAGTCTGTTCCATCACTTCACCGAGAAGCGATGTATCCGCCATTGTTTGCTTTATTTGTGTCCACAAGGACATGTCTAACTAAACGAAGGTCAGTTTGAGCTACGCTGAACTCATGACAGGTCTTGAGCGCGCTAAGAAATGCAACTCTACTACGCAAGCCGAAGCAATTGACTGCTACCCAGGCCGCAGACCCTCCTTGCAGAAAGTGGACCCATAGGAGACGTTGGTTCTTCCACCTCTTCCAAGTCCGGCCTTGAATATTCGCTCTAGGTAGGGAGGCTTCCGAGATGCTGACTGGTTGTCAATACAAGAGAAAAGCACGGACGGTGGGGCAGGATCCCGGTCTAGCAATTGATTGCATTCGAAGAAGAGTTGTCGCCGGTTGGCTTTGCACAGTCCTCTCGAAGTCGTCCTGGTATTAGGAAGCAACGACTTGATGTGGTTGTCTTATTGTGGAAAGACACTACTCCCAGAGAATATAGCTAGCATTGGCTCGTGTACACGCAATCTGCGGTCATGAATCTACTATACGCAGACCCTGACAGAGGAGCCACTGGGCGGCATGTGGCGCTCCAGTCGAATTGCAGAAGATGCTCGCGAACATTTCGTGGTAGCCCGCCGGCTGGTTCGCCGGACGGGAAACGGTACGTACCGGATTTAAGGTTGGCGGCGGAGGTGGTGGCCCGCCAACAGGGAGGTTGATCCTCCTCGAGCAGGTAAAAATAAATACAGATCACGTGAAATGTCTCTGTCTGATTGAAGCTGGTGGGGTGGATGCATGTCGTAGCCATCCGACGTCATCGCCAGGCCTTTGGGAGACTACACGTACAAATACATGTTACTACAGGTGAGTCCAGTCGAACAAAGACAACAAGACGGAAAAGAAGATGTGATCGGGATGGCTGGAAGGACAGCAGCAAGAAGGCCGAGTGATATCACGTGAGGGTCGTTCGTGTCTCAGACTGTCGCACGTAGCCTTATCTCATCCCTCTGGATTGGAGGGGCAAAGCACCCCTCGTTTTACCTTTGTGCGCCGCCATAAGCTCGGCGCATGTAAACAGGCAAGACCCCTCGTCCTATCAACTCATTTCGGGACCGCTGTTGCTCGGATTAAAAATGTGATTTATTTTCTTATTTTTTCTCGAGACGCCCGATGTCATGGCAAATCTGCACGTTGCCGCGATGCGACCTCTCCAGGAAGAGAATTGCCCTTGTTGGGCAGCGCAGGCGCTTAGACTGCACGTCACCATGGATCTCTGTTTGCCACCCTTGTCTTTGCAAGATCAGATTTTTCTTTCCTTCTCTCTCTCTCACACACGCACAACCCCGCACTGCCTGGGTTCCCCTCCAGCCACAATTGTCGGAATTAATGCGTGCAGGTTCTGCTGAGCATTGGCTTTTTTTTTTTTTTTTTTTCAACTCTTCGCCAGCCAAACCTGTCAGAGGCGCCTGGCTTCATATTTTCCTTTTCTTCTTCCTCAAGCGGATAGGCGCTTCCCGTCCACTAGGTGATGGCTACCTGGACATGCTAGAGACTTGGAGAGAAACAAGGATAGGCCCAACGGGGGAACCTTGGACCACTGTGGGCTGAACCACGGCATCGTCGTACACTACTACATCACACCCCTATGCAATACCTCAGGCTGTATACAGCCGTGCGAAAGAAGCAGATTCCTACGTGACTCATGCCGAACGAGGGTTGGGCTCAAACCAGCGAGCAATGGGTTCCAGGTTGGGCTGTGCGGCGACCTTGGTGACTGACAAGGATGCGTCTAAAGGAGGGGTGGAGGGGCAGAAAGAGTAGCTGTGGGAGCCTTATCGCCAGGCAAGTAGTCCCGAAGTACCTCTGAGGGGGGGAGGGAGGAAGAGAAGGGGGAAAAAAAGATTTTTTGCAAAGCTATGGGATGGGACCAAACAGCTAGGCAGGGTAGAATGGGCGGCGGCATTGAGATGAGACGCGTCTGAGGTGGCCAACAAAGCAGGAGGTCCCATCGGCCGTTCCTTCCCCCCAGAAGAAGGCGGCTAGCTAGGGTCCATGGAAAATTGATCGTGATGAGGGTGTTCAATTTCCTCGAGTCGAGGGTTGACATCACGGATCTGCAGCAGAAGGCCCAGAGCTCTCTTTCTGGCGGGGAGGGGTGAGTTGAGGTGAGGCCACGGAGGCGGGATGTCTGCCCGTTTGCGACCATGCAGGCCACGGTGTTGCCCCGCGAACACAAGCCGTCGGATGAGTATTACCCCTCCATTCCATTTCTGCCCCTCCAAAGGCCACCACACCAGTCTGGGACATCAGACATGACGCCCGCATGCTCATTGTTTTTGTAGCTGGTGGTACCTAGGCAGCCATGGTCTGTTAAATTTCAAAACGGAGAGAGGCGGCGTGAGAAAACCGAGCGTAGAAGAGGGAAAGACAGAAGCCTAGGAGTCTCCGAAGGCATCATCTCTGAGGAGGCCATACCGCTCTTTCTGGGCAATTCGGTGCAATGAGGGGCTGTCTGTGGAGGGCGGGTGCATGGTGGTTGCCACACCCAAGCGGAGACTGAACGCAACCCACGAGATACTTCGTGAGACCACCATTTTGCTAACGAGTCAACCAATCAGATAGAACCAAGGCAATAATAATAAAAATCTGGCGCACAAAACCTAGGGCATTCACCTGGAAAGAGCGGCCGGCCCCACGCTAGCCCCTGCCAAAAACTTTTCAAGCCCCTCTTCTTACCTCGACCCCTCCATCCACCCACCCATCCCACCATCTCACTCTTCCGCACACCAGCCCACGCAAATAAAACCCTCTCCATCACCCATCCCTCTGCTCGTTCTCCTCTTCCGATCTTTGTCTGCTACATACCGATTCTTTCTGCGAATCATCTGTGCAGTGAGTTCTAACCATCTCTCCCTCATCGGCTTATCAGCCAAGACCACAGTATCTAACAAATCTCATCAGCTTTCACCTCTCAAAACCACACATCTCGATCCAGAACCGCCAAAATGGGTAAGGAAGAGAAGGCTCACATCAACGTCGTCGTTATCGGCCACGTCGATTCCGGCAAGTCGACCACCACTGTAAGCAACTTCCCCCTATGAAACAATGTCATCATCGACATCCTTGACTGACTGTCTTTCGCAATAGGGTCACTTGATCTACCAGTGCGGTGGTATCGACAAGCGTACCATCGAGAAGTTCGAGAAGGAGGCTGCCGAGCTCGGTTAGAAACCCCACCTCACCCCTGACATTGAGGCAATCGACTGACATATTCCTATAGGCAAGGGTTCCTTCAAGTACGCGTGGGTTCTTGACAAGCTCAAGGCCGAGCGTGAGCGTGGTATCACCATCGACATTGCCCTCTGGAAGTTCGAGACTCCCAAGTACTATGTCACCGTCATTGGTAAGCTCATCTCATCCACCTCCCCACTCATCGAGATCGCCACCTGTCCTTCACCCAAGGAGTCGACTCTCATCCATGATCATGTGCTAACCCATCACAGACGCTCCCGGTCACCGTGACTTCATCAAGAACATGATCACTGGTACTTCCCAGGCCGACTGCGCCATTCTCATCATTGCTGCCGGCACTGGTGAGTTCGAGGCTGGTATCTCCAAGGATGGCCAGACTCGTGAGCACGCTCTGCTCGCCTACACCCTTGGTGTCAAGCAGCTCATCGTTGCCATCAACAAGATGGACACCACCAAGTGGTCCGAGGCCCGTTACGAGGAAATCATCAAGGAGACCTCCAACTTCATCAAGAAGGTCGGCTACAACCCCAAGACCGTTGCCTTCGTCCCCATCTCCGGTTTCCACGGCGACAACATGCTTGCCCCCACCACCAACGCTCCTTGGTACAAGGGTTGGGAGAAGGAGACCAAGGCCGGCAAGACCACCGGCAAGACCCTCCTTGAGGCCATCGACTCCATCGAGCAGCCCAAGCGCCCGACAGACAAGCCCCTCCGTCTTCCCCTCCAGGATGTCTACAAGATCGGTGGTATTGGCACAGTGCCCGTCGGCCGTATCGAGACTGGTGTCCTCAAGCCCGGTATGGTCGTTACCTTCGCTCCCTCCAACGTCACCACTGAAGTCAAGTCCGTCGAGATGCACCACGAGCAGCTCACTGAGGGTCTTCCCGGTGACAACGTTGGCTTCAACGTGAAGAACGTCTCCGTCAAGGACATTCGCCGTGGCAACGTCGCCGGTGACTCCAAGAACGACCCCCCTGCCGGCGCTGCTTCCTTCAACGCCCAGGTTATCGTCCTTAACCACCCCGGTCAGGTCGGTGCTGGCTACGCCCCCGTCCTCGACTGCCACACTGCCCACATTGCCTGCAAGTTCTCCGAGATCCTCGAGAAGATTGACCGCCGTACCGGAAAGTCCGTTGAGAACAACCCCAAGTTCATCAAGTCTGGTGACGCCGCCATCGTCAAGATGGTTCCCTCCAAGCCCATGTGCGTTGAGGCTTTCACCGACTACCCCCCTCTGGGACGTTTTGCCGTCCGTGACATGCGTCAGACCGTCGCTGTCGGTGTCATCAAGTCCGTTGACAAGTCCGCTGCCACCGGTGGCAAGGTACGTTTTCATTCCTCACTCATACCTCTGAAGCCATCTTCTAACATGTTCATCAATAGGTCACCAAGTCTGCTGCCAAGGCTTCCAAGAAATAAGCGGCTTAACTCACCAGGGTTGGGTTCTGAGTACGCCCATGGCTTCGCCGCCATGGATACTCACTTCTACGGCTTTACGAATTCCCTTTGCGTGGCATGAGGACATATGAATACGGCTGGGTAGCACGAATATCGAGAGGAAGGATGGACCGGATGATTCTACGTCAAAAAAACTTCTCATGATACGTGCTCAGTAGCACAAAAATAGAGTCCTAGAAGTGATTCCCAAGTTACATGATTGTGCCTTCTGCTTTGTGATGTGATATTTGTGATTCTGCTGTGACCTTTTTCTAAACTGTTGCCTATTAAGTACGTGTCTAATTTCCAAATGGCCTTACCCTTGGAGCTAATTAGCCGGTCGTTGCATTCAGTATGAGCTCCCCGGCGTGAAAACTGCGGCGGGGTTGTGGACGAGTCCCAGATACCTGGGTTCTCAATTAGTACGTGCTGTGTGGAAGGCTGTCTCACCCCGTCGGCCCCTGTGAACGGCCAAGGTCATGTCCCGCCTTACGTGGCAACTCCTCACCTCTTTCGATAAAGCTCGATATCGTTCTCTGTCTGGGTCCGTTACAGATTCGTCTCCCCGGAAGTGAAGGTATCGGCGGCTGCCCTGCGCCGAGGTTACGCCTGTCCACATTGAGAGTATCGCCTGATATCCTCCCCCATCAACATTGCAAAGCTCGAATTCGCCTCTTGTACAGGAGGTATATATTACACTTGATACAATGTTTTGCTACACAGATGTTTACATGTCCTTCTTTCGCGTCCCGGCCTACTCCTTCTCGGCAGCGGCGGGATCGACATCGCCAGTGTCGACATTTTCAAACTCTCGCGCGATATCCCTCTCCCCGACCCACTTCACGACCTTCCCCGTCACCAGGTCGTGTGCCAACGCGAGGTACCTGTTGGTGTAGGCTTTTACCACCTCGTCAGGCGCATCATCATCCGTTGGCAGCGCCTCAAAAACAAGCTCCGACCGTCGACCGCCGTGCAGACCCGCCTCGACGCTCGTGTAATGGACCTTGTGGTCCTGGTACCTGACACCCAAACTCCGACGGATCTCGAGACCGGAGAAGACGTACGTGGCTGCCCCACCAAAGATACCGTCGCCCTCCGTAGATGGAAGACCGGAGAGCTCGATCTCTGGTGGCGGGCGCAGACGGCCCGCTGCAAGGTCCAGCTTCGCATTTTTTGTATACTCGCAGAAGGGAGACCCGTCGAGGGCAGCAGGTGACATTACCGAGAGCCACGACTGGGACAACCGCATGTCGACGGGCTCAGAGGGGTAAGCGACGTCGTTGAAGGTCTGGTCGAGGACGGCGACGAGGTCTTTTTCGCAGGCGTCCCAGCTCAAAGGGCCCTCGGGAAGTTCCCACGGGACGACGAGGCGTAGCTTGAGAAGATGGGGCAGACCTTTTACGGCATACAAAGAAGGATGCCGACGGAAACCAAGAACAAGAGTCGTCTGCATTGGCTGCGTTGGGATTGTCGTGAGTGCCTCGTCCAGGGCATTAAGGCTTGTGGGATGGGGGGATGTCGGCGAGAAGACGTGGTTCTTGGCCTTGGCCGCCACAGCCAAGTTGAAACCATCCTGCTTCCTGTGAAGGAGTTTCCCGAAGGAGGCGACGGTTGAGGTGTATCTCTTGCTCCAGGTAGCGTCGGAGTCTTGAACGAGGCGTTGTATAGGATGAGAGAAAACGTCGCTGGCCTCGAGAGGGAATCCAGACTCTGCTGGAGAGACACGACCAACCGGCGCCACATAGCGGGACCATTGCGTAAGTCTGTCCTTCCATGAAAGCTTTTCTAGTCCGCTGCTTTCGGGGATCAGTTTACCGTTGTCATCCCTCAGCTCGTACTGGAGAGAGACGGATGCATCTTCAGGTTGTAAGGCGGTGTACAGGAGACGCTGGACAACATTGTCCAACTGTTCGCCAGCATCGTTTTCCTCTGCGGCTCCGTCGTTAAACCATGAAATGCGAAGCTTTTTCGCCGTTAGACATGACCGTCACTGCTACGGGAAGAGGTTCCACTTACGTTATGGCTCTTGGTGCTAAACGTGATAAACGTGTTGGTAAGATTGCCAAGATAATGCAGCAAGGTGGAGCGAACGTCGTAGTTGGAAAGCCAAGGGGCATGGACGTGTTTGGTGACGACAAGCTGAACGGACTCGTCCAGCTTCTTCAGGATCGTCTCCGTCTTGGCTTTGGTGGCTGTGATCCTCACTCGTTGATTGGTGAACTGAATGTCTTCACCCTCGTCGAGGTAAGCATCCCTGATGGCGTCGAGTCTCTGACGGTCCCCTATTGCACGTTAGACAACATCAGAATAGTCGACTGGATCACTTACGCGCTAACAGAACAAGAATCCTTTCCTTGATCTTGGCGCTGTAGAAGCCGATGCCGTCAACCATCTCCCTGATGCTCAAACGCCAGGCCTCGATCATGAGGGTCAAGACAAGTCTCTCCTTGGGAGAGCCGACAATCTCCGGCAACAGGAGGGGGGCCCAGGGTTTCTCGTCCTGAATCCAGTCGTACTGCAACACCTTCTCCCCCTCGGGCGTTGTTCGAGCCTTCGCATTCTCGCGCGCGAGATATGCCCTGAGCTGAGCAACTGTGAAACCGTTTAGGAGCACCTCCAGCAGCCTGTCGAACTCGCTCTGCGAAACGATGGGCTCGGTGGGACGGACACCGTCAACGTTGGCCAAAGCCTCCTCCATCGTGAGGTCCTTCGCTTCCGCTTCAAGTGATGCTTTGAGATCAAATTCCGGAGCCAGGGGCTCTTCGACCGGCAACTCCCTTGAAACCTTGGGGTTCCCGCGCGTCTCGCGCATGACGATTGCCCGCGCCTTCTCTCCTAGCATGCTGACGTCCAGCTCCTGAGACTGCAAGTATACATTGCGCTTTCCTAAGCGCCGGTGCTCGCGGCGATCCCTGTGGTCTCTGCCGAAAAATAGCTTTCTGATGAGGGGCCGGTCTTGCGTCGCGGGCTCCGTCTCACTCGGAGGTCCATTTAGCCCTGATGACACAGACGGCGAGGAAGCAACTGGGTGCGCTTGAGGCGGCTCATCTTTTGGGGACACGCCATCGCTTCGAGTGTCTTTGGTACTACTCGATGGGTCTTTCTCGCCGTCACTTGCTTTCTCAATTCGGTCCCAAGCCGAGTCGGCGCTGTATAACCGTCTTTGGAGGAAATCGGGTTGGAAAGGGGGGATTCGAAGTGAGCTATTGGCTCTCGGTCGGTCGAGAAGTCGCAGTTGACATCGCAGACACACACTTCGAGCGTAGGAAGCTCGAGAAAGCATTGGGAAGAAAATAACAAAAAGAATACGCTGAACAACTTTCAATGTTCATTCCAAGCATGTTGCGATCCAAAGCTCCCTAAATTTTGCGACAGGTCGGCGTTGATTAGATAACAGATAAGATAAGAAATCAGCAGGTGGCGCGAAGTAAAGTGCCCCGCCCAAAACCGCGTCGCGTCAGTTCGAATCGCACGTCACTCACTTTTGTGTACGGAGAACAGCAGAGCTTTCTATTCATCACTAACTAAGCGTCTACCTGAGCTCCCGTATTTCAGGCGCAGCAGCTTTACTGACATCATCGAGATTTTCTTTTCGTAGAAATAAAAAAAATAAACCAAATGCCTCCTTTACAAAGAAGACGACGACAGGTACGACCCACACCTTGGTTGTAGACACATTCTTCTATAATTGCTAACAGTGATCAGGTGGAGGATGAGGACTCAGAAGAGGAAACCAGGCACCCCAGACAGCGCCGAAGTCGCGACGCATCCAACGAAGATGGCGAATCCGAAAACGATGCCGTAGATACCACCGTTAGCGCAGAAGAGCAGCTTGCGAAGAAACTGGTGCGCTACGCTCTGGCTTGCGAGTTCTCTCGGACGCCAATCCGTCGAGATGGAATTAAGGAACGAGGTTAGAAGTTACAGGGGTGAACTTCGCGACCCTGAGATGTAGCTGACATGTCACCAGTTCTTGGTGATCAGGGTAGAGCCTTCAGGAAAGTTTTCGAACTGGCACAGCAGCAGCTCCGCGCCGTCTGGGGCATGGAATTGCAGGAGCTCGCCGTCAGAGAAAAGTTCACAATGGCAGAGAAACGTCAAGGCAAGTCTAGAGAAGAGTCGGAAGTACGTGGTAATTGTGACTAACACCACACAGCATTGAAATCCGGCTCCCAAGCAAAGACCAGCTCCGGCGTCTTCGTCCTCTCCACGACACTCCCTTCCCGATACCGCGCCCCGGCCATCATCGCCCCTTCCAAAGCGCCAAGCATCGAAGCCGAAGCATCGTACACAGGCTTCTACACCATGATTATAACCATCATTCTCGCGAGCGGCGGCGAACTGTCCGAACAGAAGCTGCGGCGGCACCTCAATCGCCTAAACGCCGAGGCCAACGTCGCATCGGAGAGGACCGAAGACGTGCTGAAGCGCATGCAGACGCAGGGCTACGTCGTGCGTAAGGTGCAGAAGAACGCAGCAACGCAGGCGCAGGACGGCAGCGAGGATGTCACTTGGCTTGTCGGCCCGCGCGGGCTCGAGGAGGTTGGCGTTGATGGGGCAGCAGGCATGGTACGTGCTGTGTATGGTGAGCAGGCGGATGCGGATCTGGAGAAGAAGATCGGGGTAACTTTCGGGATTCAGCCAGCCGAAGATGCCGATGGCGACGTAGACATGTCGCAGGCTCCGGGGGCCGGTCCGTCGCATTGAGGGAACGTACAGATGCGCAGAAAGGATGCGCATGGCGAAGAGACGCCGGCCAGGATTTGGTGGAAAGGGATACCCAAGAAGTAGCAAGCGTTTTGAGCGCATGAGTGCATGAGTGCATGAACAGCCAGTAGACACCGGCAATGGATTTTCGGGGGTATCTATCTATACCCTTCTTTATCAATTCCAAAACAAAGATGTCGCCCAACGCCGGTGTTCCCGCCCAATAATATTACCATACTTGACTTCCCTCCCTCTCAACGCGTGGGTTCATCGTTAATCCTCGCGTGCTGGTGGTGGGCCGGCCGGCTGCATCATTTTCTACCAGCAGTCAGCCATTGTTCATAGCACGATCTGGCCGTGAAGGACAGCTGGTACATACCCTGATGAGCCTCGCGCGGAGTAGTTGTGTGGGCTCGTTCTCGGCTAGAGCCATGTATGAGAGCATCGGGGGATGACCGGCGATGGAAGAGTACGTGTCGCGGTAGATGTTCGTTTTCCATTCCCAACTGGTAGTATCGGGGTGCCCCGTGCCGACATACTTGGCCTGAAGGCGCTCAAGCTCTTGCTGGTTACGGAGTTTGTCGGCCTGTCATGATACCCATCAGTAGCTGTTTCCCTTGCAAGCATGCGCACGCCTAACTCACCATGTTGTCTTTGGATTTGGCTGCGCGAATGTTGATGGATGCTGCTGAAATCCAAAGCTTCACGGCACCAAAGCCTGTGTCATGGATGCGCCGGCTGAAGTTCGGCAGACCTTCGCGAAGCGCTGGCGAGGGCCGTGCACCAGCTCAAGTACATATCACGGCACCCCTGACCTCCACGATCCACATTTCTTCACTTCGTCTCCGGATTCACTCTCAAGTAATATCCCCAGCAGCAGGATCACCTTCGACAAATCACACTATGTCATAATTCGGGTTTTATTCACTTTAAATCAAATAGCAGCTTGCAAACGTTCCCCATCGAGCATTATCATCCGCGCCACACACTACTGTCTGCCACTTCGAAGATATCACCAGCATGAGCAAAAGCAAGCAAGGGGCTCTGCAAACCAAGCGGAGAAAGCAGCGTCAGGCAGCCGAGTCGGTCGAAAAGCTTAAGACTAAGTGCTCTCAGGAACATGGGAAGGCTCATGTGGCGCACTGCAAGGATTGCTACGGGGATGTTGTGGAGACGATGAGAAACAGATACATCGGCTCTAAGGACGAGTGGTTCTCCGGTAACAAGGCCCTCCTGAACGATCTTGATAGCTTGTTCGCGAAGGTCAAGGACTTCAAGGAAGACCTCAAGGCCATTGAGGCCCGGATTGACAAGGAAAAGCAAAGGCACTACCGCGAGTCCCTCCCCAAGTCAGCGGCGGGGCGCGTCGCCGAAGCCGCGATAAGCAGGGCCGTATTTCAGGCTGCTCTGGAGGACGAAGAGAAGCCGACGTCTTCACTTATCGAGGATGTCGAGAGAGCCGTTAGCAAAGGAGTCGACGACGCACCGAGTCTCGAGGAGCTGGCACCCATGTTCGATGGCCTAGTCCTCGACAAGGAGGCCGACGTCCTCATCGACGTCTTTTTCCGAGATCCCGGGACAGGCGAGGTTCCTGCATCATGCAAGAAGTATGTGGAAAAGTTGCGCTCAGGTGTCTCTATCGAAGATGTTATGTCTGCCATAGCGGCCGACAGCTCAGCTAGGTCTCAGGCCTCAGCTAGCATGGACAGGCACAAACGGACGCTCAACGAGCTTAAGAGGGCGCAGGCGGCACATGAGCAGGATAAGCTCCTGAAAGCTCAGAAGCGGCAGCAGCCCCCTCCGCAGGGTCCTCGGGTCAATAAGGAACTATACGATCTTCCGCCGTGTCTCGCATGCTCAGGCAAGGTATCGCCGGACGAGGTCGTCGCGTGTCCCTTGTGCTTGGTCTTCGCCGAACTAAGCCTGACTAAGAGGACGGTCTTTGACTCAGAGAAGTGTTACGAAGAGGCATATGTGAGACTTACATGATTGGCCACTGTAGCGAGCTGTATGCTGACAACTACTCAGGATGAACACGTTCAGACGGCACACAGCTGCGCCGCCGGCGAAGGATGCGTTCAGCTCAAGGACGAGGATGAGGAAATGGGCGGCAGCGGCGAAGGGCCCGTCATTTGTGAAGAGTGCGCAGAGCAGCTAGGGCAAAGTATAGTCTACTGCTCATCGCGCTGCGCAAGTGCCGACTTTCAGGAGCACCGAGAGGGCGTTCACATTCCGAATTGGAAGGGACTTGGCATCGATATCGGCACCCAGGGAGAGCATTTAGTCTACGACAACGACGATAAGTCCAAGTATCATGTAAACGACATTTCAAAGTTTGTGTGGCGGCTTGACGAGGCTTTCGCGCGCGTCTTCAAGAGCAACAACCCTGATATCAGAGACATCCAGCATTAGAAACGTGCAACGGCTGGCTGCTGCTTTGAGCAATAATAGAATCGCTGCCTGTCATTCTCAGTGTCGAGGAAGACAGGACTCTAAGGGAGTTGTTTCCGTTCGGTACAATAGCACGTCGTCTTCGATTCAGAATAATTGAAGTAAAAATAAAACAACTTGATGGCCGACTTGGTTAGCGTAAGATAAGTCTTTTTTGCCCAACGATTATACCGTATTTTGCAACATGCTGAGAGCCCACTTCAAGTCTCATACACTCCGATGCGGTTCGGAACTTGAGGTTAGCGCTGTGGCCCAAGCCAAGACAATACAGGACCTATCGCCTAAGCCCGCCTAAAGCGTGCGAGGCCCCTATTGGCAATCCGCCCTAAGAGCGGAGGTCTTTCATGTCTTGGAGCAGGCATTCTCCAATCACCAACATCCGGGGGCACTCGGAGGATTCATCAACCCATTAGCCGGGCTGAGCTCAGTTCCATTTTCAATTCCCTTTCCCCCCTACTCGGCTCGTAGCTTCGTGACTGCTAATAATCAGTTGAGAACTGGATCGGTCAAGGTTGTCCTCCGGATTCCACCAATTCCCGACATAGTCTTTTGGCAAACATCGTGTCGAAACCCTACCTCCCTGCCAATCCGGGTGCGGAAAACACCTACTTTTCCTTCATCTATTTCGGAGCGGATACATGGCCCTTCCCTCACCCTTACTGTCACGTTGAACCCTAGTTCCTCGTTAAGTCGTCTTCGGTCTCCACTACATCATCATGGAGAGTGTCATTGATGCCGATGCATCGGGCGCCCGCGCGACCTCGAGGCAGAGAGTGACTAACGCCTGCGAGGCGTGCAGGGTGGCCAAGGTCAAGTGCCAGACCGGCATGCAACCTGGAATCTGTCAAAGGTGTGTGATGTGTACCCACCCTCGGCTCAGGCCATATACCCGACTTGGTTCGGCGTGTTAGTCGTGCTGTGTGCTGATCAGTCTGCCGAGGGAACCAGGTGTCTCGAGTTCAAGAGAGAATGCATCTTCCGCACCGGCCCCAGAACCCGCCGCCCGCGACAATCCAGACTGTAAGCTCCTCGCTATTGACTTCCCGGGCGGCAACTTCTGCCACACACTTCCCGTACCCCGTAGTCTTACTTACACTGCAATAGGAACCAGGACGCCCCAAGACCCCCTCCACCACCGGGGCCATCCAAGACCTTCAGCATTGACTTTGGCATGCCTCAATTGGAAGAGCCCGACGACTTTGAGACTATTGCCGCACAACATGAGAGGTACTTCGAAGAGCTCTTACCTGCGTCTGACCCGGAGTTCATCAACATCATGCTCGGCCTCGAGGACCCCGGTAGCAGACCCTACTCTACCATATCAACCCCGCCGTCCTCAGGCTCAGGCCCGTCCATCTCCGTATCGAACTTCGGTCTCAAACCCCAGTTCAACCTCGACTCCGCCGAGAAGCTTCTGCAGACATTCCGCGTCATGCTGAAGCATTTTCCCTGCGTGGCACTTCCACCGGACGCCACGGTCGTGTCTCTGTCCAAGACTAAGCCGTTCCTGCTTCTCGCCATTCTTTCAACGGCGTCCGCCTCCAGTGCGTTGCAGGGACACACACTTTACGATGAAGAGTTCCGCAAGATCCTCGGCCTCAAATTCGTGGCCGGGAGCGAGCGAACCCTGGAGCTCCTCCAAGGCCTGCTCATCTATACGGCGTGGTACGCAAGCTCCTGTTCCCTTGTTCCCCCTTAACCGCCTAATCAATCTCAGGTATCCTTTTCACCTCCGGCCAAAGAGCAAACAGGGCTTTCACTACGTCCGCATGGCAGCTGAGATCCTCCACGACCTCGACCTCGACCACCCACCCTACCAAAACGCGGGCGTGTCTACCGCACCTACAGCGGACCAGATGGAAGGCATCCGCACCTACCTGTCCTGCTACTATCTGGTTACAGCGCACGTGCTGCCCTCCTTGCAGTACTTCCGCAGGACGACTCTGACCTTTTCCAGGTTCGCGATGGCATGGGCCAAGATGTCTACAGCACGACTCCCGTACACCTCGTGGACCGCTACCTGCAGCGACCTCCTTGAGCGCAGCTCCTCTCTCAAGGGGGACCATACCCTCGCGTGGCTCGCAAGATTACTGCACATCACCGAGGAGGCGTCTGAGATGACGAAGAATGCTCCGGTCACAGAGCAGGCGAAACAACAGGCTCACTTCATGTTTCTCGGGCTCGATAGCCAGCTCAGGGAATGGCAAAACCAATTACCCAGCAGTCTGGGTGACGTTCGTGCGTATTGACCTAACACTCACATAGCTGAGTGTCTTGTGCTGAACCCATCTTAGAGTCTATCAAAATTGCCACCCTGTTCACCGAAATTTTCCTCCTCGCCGGTCCCATCTTCCGCCTCGCCTCCACATCGAAGATGGGCGATCCCTCTCTCGGCCCGCCCATCCCCGCCCCGCGCCTCGAGCGTTGCCTGGTGCTCATACGCAGCTTCTTCGATTTCACCGTCAACCTCGACAAAAACGCCTTCCTCGAGATGAGCTGTATCGATTGGTGCCGCTTCATTCAGGTCGTCATCGTTGCCGTCCGCGTGTCTTTTCCACTGCCGCTCTGTCCTGAGTGGGATCACGCGCGGGCTCGCGAACAGCTGCAGTTCGAGTCCTACCTCGCCAAACTGTCGGCGCACCACGAGGAGCTGACGCCGTCGACGAAGAGCATGGACGTCTATTCGGCGAGCAAGGTCGTGTTCGCGGTTATGAAGCGCAAGTACGAGGGCCGCATGGCGAACGTTTGTGCACCGGTGAACCAGCTTCCAAGGAGTATTCGCGGATGCCCCATGTTCGATGGGAGTCTGGATCCTTATTTTCCCATATGGGACCAGGACATCAACCGGAACGGCGCGCACGGGTTGATCCCGCCTGTGCTTAATGGAACGCCGGCGGCGGTGAACGGCCAGGATATCTACACTGACCTGTGGGCTACGATGACCATGGGATGTCCAGAGGAGATGAATGGGGATCCAGATCAGGGTCTCGATCTGATCCAGGGGCAACATCCGCCGATATACCCGGATCCATCGCTCCCAGGGGACATGGCCACGGGCCCAACACCTACCGGTAGCGGATGAGCTTTCTAGCTTGAATGGTATCGCACGCTCCATCCTGGCCATAGCTTCTTGCAGATGGAGGTAACCCTACGACATGAATTGGACCTTCTCTGGGGGGGGGGGGGGCATCAGCCTGGAGCCTCTTTCTTTCTCTCCCCATCTACTCCAAGTGCCGGAACGCCCACCCAGCCCAGTTTGAATGGCAGGCTCGCAGCAGCTTGAGATGGCACCACGTAACTTCAACCAGGGTCAGCAGTAGGCGGCAGTCAGTATCAGAGCTCGCACGGCTTATTACGAGGGATGACGTTAGAGGACTTCACTATCTAGGGTGTTGTCGAAGATGGGCCAGCAACTACTCTCAGAAGCATCGCGGCACCGACAAGAAGAGGTGCAGAACCTTGTCGTCGTTCACTCTGGTTCTCGGGAGGTAGATGAGCGTATACGTGATGCGTGCTGCGCAACCTCTTGTAGGAGGGTTCATCAAGCAATAATGACCAAAATTCACTCATTATGTCCATTTGGCATACTTTGCTCGCCGTACGCTATATGACTGATCATGGCGTGACCGGACGTAACCTTCACATCGTCCGCTGTCATGTACCAACGTAAACACTTTGCTGCAAGTCTTGCTGGGATACTTGCATTGCCACCCGTAATCAAGCTTGTACGAAAACGGCAGCAGATGAAATAGCAGACCGCTTGTCTCTGACAGGCGACCGCTCATGGAGTCGTTCATGGAGTCGTTCATGGAGTCGTTCATGGAGTCGTTCATGGAGTCTCTACAATTTACTCCCTTTGGTCTGCCTGGATTAGGACCGATACCAAGGTTAGGAGATGTCTTTTGGCACCGTTCCAGCCAAAGGACCAACGAAATCGAACGGTCCGGGCAGTGACACCAGGCCACCATGATGAGGGAGCCCTGCATGTCGACAAACGGCATGTACGACCCAAACTGCTGGGAATTCCGGGCCGTAGTGTCCAGGGGCCCCACGGGATATGGATTCTGAAAATGCCCTAGCAGCTTTCGTAGACCATTTCACGTCCCCACAGATGAATAAAAAAGCGATAGATCCCGCTGTAACGCATGTGTAAGAGCTCGTCAGGTCCCGGGAATGCCGCGTCGCAGCCAGTCGCCGGGCACCGGCACACACGCACAGGGTCGCCCATCCCGCATTCGTTCGTTACCCTCGATCCGGATGCCGTTCTTGCCGCAGTATGGAACAAACCTGCGCCGAGGAGACCCTAGAAGACTGACCAACAGTTCCTCGTCCCTTCGGCCGCGCGGCAGCAGGCGTCGTCTGACGACGACGTCCGCGGCTAACGGCTTCGATGGCGGCTTGCTCCCGGGGGCTTCCACATCGTCTAGGACCTCGTCCCTCTTCGCCCTCCGCCGTCGATTCTGTACTCCAAGCTCTTTGGCTAGCCAACAAGATGAAGAAAAATACAACGGGCCCGCGGGATTTCACGCCAGCAGGAAAGAAAGTCACCAACAGGAACAACAATCGGTTGAGAGCCATTGGGTGTAAGTTCGTTTTGTCTCCCACTTTTATCCCGACCAGAGTCTCCGTCAGCCTTCCCAGATAGGGTCGTCGTCTATGGCAGTAAGTGACTGGATACCCGCCCAGGTCTAGCATGATATTAACTCCGTCGATGCCCTCGCCCCCCGCCCTGACATCTTCAGCAACTCCGTCCGCCTCGCCACACATTTCACCTCCACCACCTGAGAGGCCTTGTCAGGGTCGAAAACACATCACCGACCAGCCCAGCCCAGCCCTTGACATGTTCGACCGTGTTCATCATTCGGATCCACCGCCAGACAAACGCCTCGCAGTCCGTGTAGTCCTCCGCATACACGTCCCACACGGCAACCTTTTCTGCCCCCTCGCCGTCCGCAACCGGCGGGCCCACGAGCAGCGCCCGGCCGACAATCGCCTCGTCCGCCACCAGCCTCGTCGTGGCATCAACGACGTCGTCGAGGCGCGCGGCGCCCGCCCCGCCGCTCAGAAAGGCCGCCTCCGTGGGCGCCGGGAACATGTTGCTACCGCTGACGAAGTAGGGGCAGACCATGTTGAGGCGGATCCCGTGGCGCAGGTGCGCGGTGGCGCGCATCGATCGGAACAGGCCCGTCACGGCGTGCTTGGACATGGTGTACGGCGACTGGCCCGGGCAGTGGCCCACGCCCGCGATGGAGCCGACGAAGATGAGGCACCTGTCCCTGGAGGCGCCGTTGCGCGGCAGCCAGAAGAGGGCGAGGTGCGTCGTGTACGACAGGCCGGTGACGTTGACGTCGATGATGGTGTTGGACGGCTTGCCAGGCGCGTCCGGGTCCGTCTGGAGGGCCGACGGGCTCTCGAAGCGGTAGTTGGCGCCTGGGTCGTTGACGCCCGCGTTGGCCACGACAACATCGATGGCGCCGTTGGGCGAGAGACGGGCACCCTCCTTGAAGAAGGCGACCTGCGAGTCCCAGGAGGTCACATCGCACGTCACGAAGTGGTGGGAGCCCTTGGGGTTCTCGGTGCGCAGAGCGGCGACGAGGGTTTCGCCGACGGACCCGTTGACGTCCCCGATGATCACGTTTGCCCCGTGGGAAGCCCACTCTCGGGCAAAAGCCGCGCCCAAGCCCAGGGCGCCGCCGGTGATGAGAACCGTCTTGCCCGAAAGGGTGGAACGGTCGTAGGGCTCTGTGGTATCCACAGGCGGCGAGAGTTTCGTTACAGGGACGAGATTATGATAGCCCTGTGCAGCTGTCATGATGGGCAATCAGTGAGAGAATGACGGAACGGTGGAATGCTGGGTCTGCTGAGAAGCGGGTGTAGGCAACTCCCGAAGTACCATTCAATCGACAGTGGTGAACGAGGAAGCCTGTTCGGAGTAAGCCAGAAGCAAGAGTGCGAGGAAGAGTTCTGGCCCAGGTTCCCCCAAGCTACAACATTTGAAGATGTTCAGCAGGAAGCAGAGTCCGAGGACAGACAATCGTGAACGAGGAGACGGTTATCTCGGGTCCTGGTCCCTCATAAGCGTTGCAATTGGAGGGAGGAGCGAGATTTCGACCGAAGCGGCCACGAAGCTTTTTCCGCGACGCCACATAGTAAGCACCATGTGTCGTAGCGCGTTGCGGCTGACACCCATAGCATGTCGCCTCTATTAACAATGTCCAAAATTAACGTCCGCAGGCAAACGCGGGCCCGGTCCTTAACGCGTGTTTCTACGAGAACGCGTACAAGGCTGAGTCGCCCAAGATCCGGCACGAGACCTATTCGGGATGGAGACACGGAGCGGAGGACCGGACCCTCACTCGAGACCACCCGGGAACCTGAGGAAGAATTTCATGCTCACTGAGTGAGTCAAAGGGGGGGGTAGCAACGAGGCTTGCTTGCCTCGCTGGGCCAAGGCTTGGCCCCGGGCCGCACCACCCTGCCGCCACTACCTACTGGCAGGTTCCAGACCTCCCACTACCACGTACGATGCAGGAGAGTTTAATCCCCGGGGGAAAAGCGCAGACTCAGCTCAGGGCATGTGTTTTTTTGAAAAAGAAAAAGAAAAAGAAAAAGAAAAAAAGAGTGGGCTCTGTGCCAAGCCTGTTGCAAAGCCTCCTCTCTCTCTCTCTCTCTCTCAGAAAGCAGAACTGAAGGGATCGAGCCCCCGGCTTCTGTTTCGGTTGTATTGGTGTCGCAAGGCTGGACGCAGTCGCTCGATATGTGTTCCCAGTTTAAGTTCCGGGCGTTACGGAGGTTTTCGGATGAGGGTTGTTTTGTGTGCTGCAGGTCGTACGCTTGTTGATGACATGGAATGAGAAAGACGGGTGGACGGGTGTGTTTGCTGCACACGCACACAAGTTGAACGGCTTGAAAAGGATCCTTGCTTTGACTGCCTATCCGATCCTCCTGAAGGCTAAAGTGCTTTCCATGCGCGGTTATGCTCGGAATGCTTAGGACAGGAATATGGTACGTGGGGATTACAGTCATGGGGAAACCTTGTCTGCTGGGCCACCCCTCCCCCCTTCCCCCCCCCCTCGGGCTGAGGACCCCGAGTGGTTTGGGGGGGTATACATACTAGGTACTTGTTTGCACGGACGCCATGGCCAAATCCCGCTGCTGGACCATGGATCACCAGCCTTGAAAGCCAGATGCTCCGCGATCACAAACAACCTATAAACCTCCGTCCAAATGATAAAATATCGGATCGGTCAGAATCTGACTGACCCGCTTTGCGCAATGCGCCAGGGTTCATGGGTGGTTGCACACGCTGTCGTGTGGCTCGTAGACATGCTTCGTCTTTTTCTGCCGTGAGTGCGTGTATGGGATGGAAGCCTCCGTTTTGTGCGATCTGGACCGGTCAGTCCATCAGGTAGATTGCGTCCTTATCGACTTTTTTTCATAAGGAAGGGGGGCTGGACATTGCTTCAAACCCTTCTTCATCCTTGACAACAGCCACCCGTCCTCGGCGAGACATTGATTGGTAGGGCGTCGTAGCATATCCCTCCTTAGGTTCTCCAGCCTCGATGAACGTACGGGTCTCAAGAAGTCGATTGACGAAACAGACCGGAGCAATGAAGAAAATTAACCATCATTCCTTGCTACGAGCTCAATGGCTCGTGCATACGTTGGCTTTGCGACAGTTTCCTCGTCAGAAACAGACAGCAACGCCCCCTCCCCTTTCCTTTCCCCGTGGTGTCTCTCCAACGCCAAGCTTTCCCAAGAACCACGCAGCTGAGTTGCAAGAGCCCCGTAAAACACTCTAGTGGACGGTGGGACAACCGTCAACCGTCGTATCGGAAGTCTTCCTGGCAGGTAACCCCTTCCGTTGGGGTGGCCCCGTCGCCAGGGTTTGGGGCCGCTTTCGGTCCAAACGATTCGGCCGTCTTTCTGACTTGGCGCACCCTCTTCTGCAACTCCCAACCAATTTGACCATGATTCGTCACCGTGCACTGAAGTCTCCGTCTCCGGTCCCAGTGAATTTGAGTTAGGCCGTAGATGATATCACTTGTCTTAAAGACAGAACCAACACATGCCATAGGAAGCCTGTTCCGCACGGTGCTTTTGTCACTTGTGCGCGGATGGAGCCCTTCGAGCCCCTTCACTCTGTAACAAGATGCGAGTGTATGTTGACTGACCACTAGGAGACTCGGGTTCATGGCCACGGGTGATCAACCGCCATGCCCCGCAAGAATTTGATGCTGCTATTCCTGCACTTGTCGAGGCGGTCACTGAGACATTGCTAATAAGCCTACTTGATGAGCCCATGCCATTGATGGACGCAAGACGCCATTGCGGGTCATCCATGAGCTGACAGGTGTCATAATCAGCCTCAGATCCAAGCCTGACGACAGTCCTCATGGGACCTCAATGCCGACATATGCCGCTGCTTTGGTAGGAACAACATATAAGGTGGCAGTCACCGTCATGGTATCGACATGTCTTGCTGATAGCCGTGTCTACCTCCATTCTGGCCCGTTAATCCAGCAAGGAAGTGCCTTGAAAGGGTTGTGGGAAAGGAAAAAAAGCCCGAGCCAACATGAGAGTGACTTGCATCCTTTCCCTCAGTCGGATGGGCCAGTAAACGTACCGCTGGGGCTGAGAGGTAGTCTAGGCCGCCCAAGACAATGTGGCGCTGGTGTCTGTTCAAACGCTAAGCGCTTGAATCTATCCGTCTAGTTTCAGGACTCCGCATCAGAGAGTAATTAGCAACGAAATACGTACAGTAGCTCCATGCTGACAAGCGGTACCTCCCAGAACGGCTGGCCAATTGGGGGGACAACATCGCTTGTGTAGGAGCCGTTTGTAGTGTCGTCGGATCGTATCAGCGGCCCATCTCTGCAACGGCTAATCGGACCTATCTTGGGCTTCGAACCGCAGTAAGCTATCGGTTCTTGTTGTTTTCCCCGACTGGTCTGCTCATGTCTATTGATAAAGCAGTACCTATGAAGATCGGTGCTGGATACTCGCTATCCATGTGATTAACGTTATCCTGAGAGAAACCAAGCTCGAAACTCCCAGCCCGTCCCTGAACTCAAAATTGAGAGGAGACAGCAGGGGTAAACTCGTTCAAAGCTAGAGTTCTTCTGATCCCGCTTGAGCAAGCTGTGGATCTTGATGTAGCTAAATGTTCGGACTTGAGTTAATACTTGACATCCGTCTCTTCCCTTCCCTTCCCTTCCCTTCCCTTCCCTTCCCTTGTGCAGTCATATGGTTGCAGATCGTCGCCGCGAGAAACAGATGGTGGAGATTTAGCCTGAACAAAAACCGCAATGTTCGCATCATCCCGCCCAGTCTGCATTTGCATAATCGCACAGGCACAGGCCAAGTGTGGTGACCAGTGGGCTGTGCTCTCAGGTCGTCCCGCCCTTGCCACTGGCCTACGGCACGGATACCTCTCCTGCACAGACATTGCATATGTTCTCTAGGGGCTGCATGGCAGAATAGGTATCTTCTGAGTTGCTGTTGTGGTTACCACATTCCCGTTCGTGACTGACTCTTACGATGATGCTTGCGGTGAGAAGTTCAACTTCGATGCGTGTCTACCTGGTGCGGCCTTGCTTGCTGCTTCTTCTGGTCTTCATAAGGTGTAAAAATGAGAACGGCGAGTACTGGGACAACGGCAAGGGGGGTCGACGATGACCAGAAGACGGCAGTCCAAACTAAAAGAGCCAAGCAGGACGATTGTACAGCAGCAGGAAGGCGGAACCATCTTACGGCAAGGCATTGGCGCGAAAATCATTTCTAAAGTGAGGCATAGGCCGTTGTGAGGGATAAATAGTCCCCAACATGTCGACCAACGCCCGGCAACAGCATTCGGTGATTCCAGGCGTGACGCATGTGAGATGATGTAGAGGGTGCAGGCTCGGGATATCTACCAGAAGAGTGCGTGGCATTTTGATACCTGCTATCGCGGTTGACTTTCAATACTCCAACTCTGAAGATGATGTTTGTTTCACACCGTCTTGACATAAGTCTGCCCATAGGCACGAAGTCAATATCGGGTGAGGTTACAAGTGGTAGATGGTTACGGCTTGTAGTTACAATGAGAGGCCGGGACAAGTTCTCGCCCTTCACTTCGTGGTCTGTCCTCTCACCATTATCCTCTCTTGACATCTTGGCTTGAAAGAGCTGGCAGGCATGGGCGAAGGATCAGGAAAGAAGCAAAAGGCACATGTGATAAAAGAGATGGGGATGCTTCGAGAGACTAGGTTTCCCATCGATGAACTGTATAGAGGGCGGATTGGACGATGATTAATCGCCTTTGGATGCTTGAGTCTCGGATGCCGACTTCCAAAGCATGGCATTAGTGTAACATAGAGTCTCTTGCGACCAAGGGTGGCTGAGACGAGAGCGATGGTGTGTATAAATGAGCCCAGAACCTGTATATCAGCGGACGGAAGCGAGACGGCGGACCAATGGTGTCCAGTTGCTCGACTGGAGAGGGAGGAAGTGCTATAAAGACTGTAGTGGTGTTTGCAGATCTCTTAAGCTGTCTGGGGAGCCTCCCGTTGATTCAATAGCCGGCCGTTGTCAGGGTAGGATGGGCGTGGGTAGTTACAGGGTAGCGATGCGAGGAAACCTTTTGTCACCTCGCAGACTTCAAGAGGGGACGTCTCGTGTGCAGCAGCCCACAACCGTGAACATGGAGCAAGGCTCATCATGGAAGGGCTTCCCAAAGCGGACAGGCGTAATTCGGCCAGCGGCTTCAACGTTTAGGGTGGTAGGGAGGAGGGGGTGAAGAGACGCTAGGGCTGCATTGGGCAAAGGGAGGTCTTGTCGCAGTGCAACTCTGCCGCCCTGTCTTGGGTGGCACCGGTCGAGGTCGAGGTCGAGGTCGACGAAAAGGCTGAGGACTCGCAGTACGACAGCGATCATCAGAAGTCATTCCAGAAAATCAAATCAAGCCGCACGGCACTTGGCGGGTTTATCGTACTCCCAGCCACCCCACTTTCTTAACGTCCCATCGACGCCTAGATAGCATCGTCCTGCTGGTCGTGGTGCGATGGTACGCGACTTGTGCTCGCAGGACACACGAGTAAACGAGGTTTGGTAGTACCTCGGAGTACATGGCGTAGAGACAAGTTGGTGGGGTATCGTGATTGACAAAATCGAATGCGAATTCTCAAGTCGATTTGCGAGAGTAACGCGTTGTTGACGACAGATGTACTGCATTGACGTGAGTTCGGCTGATGCACTGGCATGATGGATGCCTCTGTGTTCTTCGGGATATTGCATGTGGGCAGTTCAGCCATGCCGTGAAAGGAACCGGGAAACCGGAGAGCGCCCGGCAATTGCCCTTGATGATCGCCTGATTACTACTTTAACAGCGAATGGGAAACGGGCGGGGAGGTAGGTCAGCACTGACTGGCTCTGCTGAATCGCCCCACTGTGTGGTTGAAGACTGTCAGTTGCTGCTGATACTGGCACTGACCAGACGTGAGTGAAGGAATAAAATAATAGTGAATGGAAGACATATTGGAGGGGAAGAGAAAAGAAAGGAAACAAGGAGAAGCAAAACAGATGGGATGCATGACTGCAATCGCATAGACACAGGTACCTAGCACCTCCGTCCCGGTGACATCGGTACACAGTACCTACTAATCACTACCTACCTACCTACCTACCCACTTATCGCAGCAGAGTCCCGCTCAGTCCTTGGCCATCTCACATACCTTCCTGCCACGACGATAAGACGTGCCTTGCTGTCGGCGACGTCCTTCCGCACGGACTCAAAGTATCGAGCGAGAGGAGATATGCGCCTTCCTCGACTTGTTGAATATAAGGTAGGAAGGTACTTTCACCTCGATAGGTATGGAAGGCCCAACCGCATGTGTCGCCAGCCAGATGGCGCGACACACCACGACGAGACACGACTGCTAAGGTTCGTTCCACATGTTCCATCACAAACACAGTCAAACATCCGCAGGCCCGCCAACCACCCTCCTAAGGTGCAGAGCCCTACTTGCTGATAAAACCCGTATCATTGTCAGATATGCGTGCGGGATGCTTGCCTGCATACTGTGCATGTCGCAGCCTGCTCAAGGGTTGCGCGTCTCGCCGCGTAGGTTTGATTACCTACATTCCTTGCGGCCAACAGGCGCCGCGCTCACCCTTATCACACCTCGTTGACATGTCTAGGGTGAGACGGGAACGAGCGAAGGACATTCGACTACCGGCAGGGAGGCTGAAGGACGGAATACTTGGGCTGAAGCTCGGATGATGTCTAGACCCATCTCCAGACTCGACACCGACAACTCCATAACCCTAATGGCAGTCGGATCCCAAGAACCAGAATTTGACAATATCTGAACTCTTCATGCGTGCCCTGCCTGACGGATCATTACCAGCCACCACCGACCATCCCCACTCGAAAGCTGCGCAGGCAACGTCTTTCACTTTACCACCGACGAACTGCACGATGACGGTTCATGATGCAGCATCGCCGTCGAATGGAAGAGCAGAACATGTCATGACAGGACTACCTAGGCTGGGCAGTAAGAGTTGGAAGAGTTGGCCTACCGTTTCTGTCGCCACCACCACCACCACCACGAGAATGGTCGAGAAACGGCAGGGACGGAGCCTGCCTTACGGAAACAAAGTTCCCCATGTCCAGGTTCGCGCCGTCGAATAAAGTGCTCCGCACGGGTGAGAGGGTCTGGTCCCTTGCTTCGCGTGCGGATACCATGTTCCTTGCCCGGCGTCTAGGTGCCCAGATGTTTGGCAGTGGATCCCCGACAATGTCACCAGATACGTATCCCGGTCGGTCCTGCGTATACGTACTGGGCTGGCATGACGGGTACATGGCCTCATCTTGTCGGTGCTCTTGCGTGGTAGATTAAAGCCGAGAGATCTGTTCGAGCCGGGTCTCTGCCCAACGGGCGCTCCATGCTACGATGAGGGCATAAGAGGACATCAAGTAAGTATGTAGGTACATGCATTATACATGGCCATGTCACCCAGCGCTCGAGGCCCCCACCCCCCCCCCCCCCCCCCGGGCCACCGAGCGTTGCTGAGCTGCGAACTGTACTTGTCTAGCCCAATGCAGTGACCCCGTTCCGATCCTCGTTGGTTTCAGCGGCAGCTTACGATGCAGCTGGCCAGGTAGGCGGGCTAAAGAGTTTTGATTTCCTCAGCAATGCAACTCCTGTATGCGCCGACATTCACATCGCATCGAGGGCGTATGGGGGAGGCTCACGACGTCCACCCCGGGATCCCGAAGGGGGTCACGATGCAGGGCGGGTGAGGCAGGTATGGAGTGTACGTACCCCGCGGATACCAGTAGGGTCCTCTCCACCTGCCCGTCTTACACTAGGTAGGTAATGCATTCATTCACTACAACGCCGGTGGTGTGGTGTGGTGTGCTGTGCTGGAGGGGTCTGTCTGGCCATGCTTCTCTGTCGACTCATCTGTCGTCCACGTGCGTTTGATTGCACGCAAGGTTTCGACCTTTTTTTCTTTCTTTTTATTCCCCTCCCTTTCTTCCCTCACCTTGGCCTTTCCCCCTTCCGCCGGACGCTTTGCGGTACCGTGGAAAAGCAATCAACGGCCGCAGAGAAACAGGAGCAGAGAGACGTGCAGTTGGTCAACACGGCGTATTCGTAGAGAACTTGGGTCCCCAAAGTAGGTACCAGCTACCTACCTAGGTACCTTTACAGAATGGTGTTGCTTCTTTTCCTGTTTCGAAAAAGCTCGACTCCACCCAGCAGTCGTCTCCCTGAACTTAGATTGGCGAGGAGGGAAAGAATGTGGTGCTGGGACAGCAGGAACGAGGTCGGCAGGAAGGGCAAGTGCGACGCTGCGACATTGGTCTGGGGCAGGAGCATCCTGGATACTTGCGTCGCCCGCACTTGGCGGCACCATCTCTTCACCTTCTTCCCCTCGTTGACAACCTTCCTGGTGAGATAGGTAGGTAGGTAGGTAGTTTTCTAGTTGACGATCCGAGTTGGTAAGGTACATACCCCGCTGCAGATAGGATGGACTCGGCAATGTCTCCCGGATCAACTTCCGCCCAGTCACTGCAGAAATACTCCAAAGTAAATAGACAATTAATCATATATGGATGTTTCCTCGCCATTCCGGTACACCCGTCCCTCGTTGCATGCGAGCGCACGAGAAGTGGAAAAGGGAGGAAGGAGGAGGAGGAAGCACCTTGGTAAGAGAGGAGAACCCCTTCAAGACAAATAAGAAAAGAGAAATAAATCTACGGTACTGCACAGATTTCTACACACGTACCTCACAGTACGCTCACGCTTACCGCATGCGCAGCATTGTCTTCGCCGCCATACGGACGACAGTCAGAGAGAGAAACACAAGACAAACAGACAGCCAGGCCGGCCAGTCCAGAAACACCAACACTATCACAGGCGCCAGCCCTCAAACGGTGTCAACGATTGCCGAAAGTCTACAAGACCCCTGAGCCCAGTCGCATTGCTACCATCGCCCCAGCCAATCCGCACACTCTCTCCCGCCGCCGTTGTGCGCTCTAGAGGCTGTATCACCCACCAAAGGATCAGGTCGTCCAGCAAGAAGACGCACCAGCAGGCAGGGGCAGCAGGGGCCCCTTTCTCTCGTCTCTCTTGCTCTCGCAAGTCCGCTCGGCCGCCCGCTCTCCGGTTAATTCTGTCTCTCACTTTAGTTCCATCGTACCCATCCCTTCTCGACCACCATTGACACTACTGCCATGATGATGACGACGACGGCGGCGGCGGCGGCAGCGAGTCCTTCGCGAGCGCGGCACACTCCTTCACTAACAACCAGCTTCTGATACCCTCCCCTCTTCTTCCAAGAAGCGGCAGAACTTCTTCACGCCGGAACGTTGCCCACCTTCCCCCAGTCAACCAACCAACCAACCAACCAAAACCACGCTGGACGTTACAGCACAGGCACGGGTAGACACCATCGATACAACCCGCCGTCTCTCCTGCATATTGGGCGGGACTGGTGAAGAAGAAACAACGACGGACTAGTGACGACGGTCTGCAGAAATTCCGGGCAGAGGGAGAGATAACGCAATCGCGGGCTGTGCCGCACCCTCGAGGCCTGCGACAAGCTACCTTTAGTTATAATGAACCTTCGTGGAGATGGACGCATCTCTCTACATACCTAGGTACCTAGGTATGTAGGTAGACAAGGTACGTGTACGATGTACACAGCAAGGCCTGCGAGTACTCTGTACATTAGCATTCATTACCTTAGCCCGCCTACCTAGGTACGCTTTCCAAGTCTACGCGATCAGCCTCTGATTGGTACGATACGTGCCTTCTCCAAGTGCTCCAGCGGCGGCGCAATTGGAACCCCACAGCACGAACATCCCTTGTCCCTCCCTCGCTCCCATTTGTACGTATCTTTACACTGTACGTCCTGTACAAGCACATGTACTCTTTCTCCTTCTCACCAATACTAAGTACAAGCGCTACTGGACTAGGTAGACTGGACTAGAATCTAAAAGGCTCGAACAAGGGCCGCTTTACACCACCCCCTTCCCCAAAGGAAGGCACCGTCAACGCCCCTCCCCCCAAGTCCAGCAGCCACCACCACCTACTGCCGATTCTGCTTCCCATCCCACTCGAGGTCTACCGGTCCGGTACATGGCGTCTCCCTCGATATCTCGCGATTCCCATCGTCGGCCCAAGTCCTGTGGGTCCCCCAAAGTACCACCCCACCCCACCCCCCCAAAAACATACAATTGGCACATACGCTATCCGTACCTTTCCATGATAATTGACGCTGCCGGAAATCCACGATACGATAAGTCGACGACGTTGCGACAAGGCTCTATTGCAACATTTGTTCCAGGCAGGCTTCAGCACCGTTTTCCCTCCTTCTGCCTCCGTCTCTCGACAGCTCACTTCTCGCTATCAGACTGTGCCCCCCCCCCCCCCCCCCCTCAACTTCCTTCTCTGCTCTATCTGTCCCACCCGGACTCAACCCAGCCCAGAGCAGGCAGGCAGAGCTCCCCCACACCCCCCTTCCCGTCGCGGTAGTGGGTGCTGTCGACCTCCGCCTTAGTCGTCAGTCTTCCGGCTCTAGTCTTCGAGTCAACCCACCCGTGGATGTAGTCCTATTGGGTACCTGTCACCATCAAGCTTAGAGAGGTCCCATCCCCAGCAGATGTGCTCTACCCTGTCGTACGTAGTATGCTACTGCATGTCCACCGCGCGCCGGGACCCAAGCCCCAGTCTCCCATTTTCCCAGTCCCAGAACCGACCCGACTCTCTCCAGCGCAACCAGCAACCGGTCCAACAGCACCGGCAGCACTACTACCACCACCACCACCACCACATGCGCTGCTGCTACTGCTACGGCTACTGCTGCTTCATCCATCCCCCCTTCATACTCTTGAAGCGAGGCAAGCCAGCCGTCCGTCCTGTCTTGTCTTGACGCACCCGCACCGCACCGCACCGCACCGCACCGCACTGCTGCGCTGCACCACCGCACCCCGACCCAAGCAACCCATCAAGGCGCACACCATTCCTCCTCGTCTTCCCTCACTTCACACACTTTCCACCAACACACCTTCCTTGCCTTTCCTTTACACCACCACCACCACCACCACCACCACCACCACCTCGCGCGGTACCTTGGCACTCTGCTCTTTTCTCATCCCCTCCTCCCCGAACCTTAAGGCGCGATACATAACCTTGCGACAGCTCATCTCGCACTTCCCTCCCACGCTCCGTCTCCTTCCCCTTCCCCAAAACCAGGCTCTAGCCCCCCTCCTGCTCCCCAAGCCTTTTCCGCATCGCCCACACGTAGCAGGCTGCATTCCTCTCTCGCCCTGTTGCTCGTCGCGCATCAAGAACCGACATCAACACTCGATAAATTTTTTTTTTTCCATTATCGCCTTTTGGTTCATCAATCCCACATCCTCGTACCCGCGTACCCGTACATCTCGTCTCTGATCTGCGCCATCGTCGCATCGCTTTCCCTTTTCTCCGTCGCAATCCCAACGCAATCCACGAGGCACCACGCGCCAACACATGCACCGCACCACCGGCGGATGACCCGCGACTAAAAGTGAACCAGGCGCATCTGCAGGCTCATCGATCCAATTCCGATTCTCTGACATGACGTCGACTCGCGCCAGCCCTTTCCCACCAACAACAACCGCAACCAAGACCGCCATGGCTGCGCCGGCTTTCCTACAACAATCGCAACCTTTTAGGCCGTCCAATACCCAACCCCCGTTCCTTTCCTCCGTCAACCCCTTCGAGCGCGATGCGAACAAGCCCGTCGGCACCCCGTTCGCAGCTTCGGGCCCTGTCGCGTCGTCCGTCCTCATCCGTCGCCTCCCGCTGAACACCTCGGAGGAATCACTTCGCCTCATGGTGGTGTGGTCCAAGGAGCTGGTCGACGTCGAAGTGCTACCTGTGGATCAGTCGGAGGACAAGGGGTTCCGGTCCGCCATCCTGAAGTTCAGGACTGCCAACGGTGCAATCGAAGCCAAGAACATGCTGGACGGGAAATCCAACATTTCCAACGATGCCAACATGATCGTGGAGGTCCTAGGAGGCAGCCCGGCCGCTTCCAGGAGGTACGCCGAACCCGCAGGGACGGGTTCTTCGAGTACCGTCTCCTCCGCCGCGTCCTCTGCTCCATCCTCGCGACAGCCTTCCCGGTTTAACGGCACGTTCCAGTCCCTCGAGAAGTTATCGCCACCCATGAATGGCATCTATGGCTCCAGCGAGCTGCCAAACCCGGAGTCAAGCGCGCACTACCAGAACCTGTTCTCGCCCCAGTCCCCCATCGGAAACCACCTCACCGAGCGAACGCGCATCTCTGGCAAGTCTTTGATCAATGACGACGCTGCCGACGACGACGAGACAGGCGAACTGCTGAAGGATCCGGTCGCCTACGCGGAGAATGGCGCCACGGCCCAGAGAAGGGCCACTGCCCCACAGCTACCCATCTCGCGTCTCGCCAGCCTGTCTCTCAACACCAGCGCGACACCGAGTCCGTCGTCACTTCCCCAGTATGGCCAGCAAGGGATGAACCCGATGTCGGCCCACCCCGTCATGTCACCGACGGCCATGGGCGGGGGCCCACACACCGTGCCGTTCCCCATGGGAGGCAACCACCCGTACGGCCGCCACAACTTCCCGCCAGTGAACCCTGCCGACCAGAACCCGCCTTGCAACACGCTCTACGTGGGTAACCTGCCCATCGACACATCCGAAGAGGAGTTGAAGGCCATGTTCTCTAAGCAGCGCGGATATAAGCGACTTTGCTTTCGAACCAAGCAGAACGGACCAATGTGCTTTGTCGAGTTTGAGGATGTATCCTTCGCCACCAAGGCTCTCCACGAACTCTACGGCCATCCTCTGCACAACAGCGTCAAAGGCGGTATCCGTTTAAGCTTCTCCAAGAACCCCCTGGGTGTCAGGTCGGGTCAAACCGCGGGCCCGGCAACGTCTCCAATGAGCGGCATGATGGCAGGGTCCACAAACGGGTTCAAAACTACCAACGGCCCTCCCCCTGGTCTTGCCGCTCCTCCCGGCCTCGGCGCGGGACGGTACAACGGCAACTCTGGCACCCAGTCTTACACCGTTGCCGGCTTCCCGGCAAGCGGCAACAACAACAACGTCTGGAACGGATACAATAATGCCATGACGGCCGGCGGACCTGGCGGCTCCTTGATGAACGGCAACAACTCGAATTACCTGCCGCCTCACATGCTGGGTAGATAGCATCAGGAACGAGCTAGGACTGCCTGCTTCTCCGCTGCTCAAACACAACTTTGCGAGACTTTCTGGCGTTACGGTGCTTCAAGCATACACGGCAACAAGTCAAGTCGGACGACAGTTGAACAGCTCCAAGGACGATGCTCTTCGGCATGCTCGGCGCATAAGCATTTACATTGGCATCAACCTTTTTTTTTTTCTTCTTTTTTTTTTCCTCGGGAGGTTTGTTTTTTGCCTACCTCCTATCCCGGCTCACACACGATTCCCCGAATTTCAGCCTTGCACCACAGGCACCTCGTTTCAACTCACTTCTGGCGCTTTGCACCGGAGTCATGCGGTTTCCTTTGTCCACGCTCGCAGGAGAGTTGAAAGGAGGTTTATCAGTAGGCATTCACCTCGTGACGACTTCGGTTCCAAGATGTGGACAAGGGAGGTTATCTTTTAGCAACAGCAGCAAATTCCCCCCTCTCTTTTACTCTCTCTTTACGTTAGGCGCCGGCTCTGGGTTTCCTTTCATTCAGCATGGCGTGTGGATCGGATATTACTATGGTAGATGGGCTTGGAGAATCTGGTCTCCTGCCCTTTGGGCAGCAAATACCCCGCACCAGCGACCCAAGGATGGAGTTTCTTGGTTCGACGTGTTCTTCAATGTCTTTGCGAGGCATTCCGAGGATATGAGGCAACGGGGTTCGAAATTGTCACGAGAGACTGGAACATTTACGAGCAAAGCGATTGGTGAGTGGAGCGTGGAGAGAAAGCGTTGTATTGTCCCTGGGAGCATGGCATGGATTTACCCAAAAGAGAGAACACGTTACCCAAAAGCAAAAGAGAAGCGAGTGGATTCAAGTCGATCCGACAACATTCTTCCCAAAGCGAAACCAAACGAGAATGAAAAGAAAACCAGAAAGGAAAAAAAAAAAAAAAGACAGTGGACGTCGAGGATCGTTGTTTTTGTTCGCGCGCGCGCAACACATTTTATGGGTCATAAAAAGGGCGGATTAAAAGGAGGATGAGAAGACAGACGAAACGGGACAACGACAAGCCGCCTGGTAACGACGATACGTTGATCCCCAACAGGACAGGATGTGTTGTACGACCAGGCCAGGCAAGACTGTCGTCACGGGAGGGATGCGGGGATGACTTGGGAGGCAAGGCTGCATGGAAACTGTCTGGCACACGCACACAAACTTTACGAATTCGCATTCATCGGGGTTACTGTTTGGCATCAAAGACGGAAAGGACCTCATCATCACATCCATGGGTTGGAATAGGGGAAACGACGTCCAAACGAGGTTTTTCTCGTCCTCCCCGGCATTCTCACGTTTCGGTTTTTTTGGTTTTTTTGTTATTTCTTTTTCGTTTTTCACCTACCCATTTCTGCTGGCTCTCATTTCATCTTCATTTCCGCTGTCGTTTCCCCTCCCCTCCTCTGCCGGTTTCTTGTTTTCTGTCTTCACATAATGAGAGAGGGAGAGAGAGAAAGAGCGAACATACCCCTTATGGGATTCTCATAGGCCAAGAAAGGAGTTCGTGATTTTGCTGATGTAGTTTTGGTTCCCTCAAGTCCCCCCTTACACTGCCGCTGTCGTTCGTCGATGGTCATGTGCTACTGCTAATATTGCGTCCTCGAGATGATTCCGAAATGACGATCCAGGACCCACGTTCCTCCGGCTGGCGGGTAGGTAAGGGTCGGTGGGCGCGCATGTGAACGGCCAGAACCCCACTGATAGACAGGCACAAACTAGACGGCCCAGTTCGGAAGGGACCCCCATGGTTGGTTTGGGGGTCGTATCTTACGGGCCCCCCTCTTTTCTTTTCTGTACCATATTATTCGCTGCTTTTGGGGGGTGGGGGGGATTGCCCGCCTACCTAAACTAGCTCTCGGCTCAATGTAAGGTACTTCGTAGTGTAGTTTATCTAAGCGAGGGAGAGAGAGAGAGAAAGAGCGGAGGGGAGTTACCACCGCTACAACCACTCTCCCATTGCCTTTTTTGGTTTTAATTTTACGCCGGGAGAGCCACGTGAGATGGACGGGGAGGGCAGGGGGGGGGTAAGAAACGAAATAAGGACCAGGGAAAACAGTCAGAACGATGGTGACAATTTGGTGCGGGAGGGAAGAAGGGGGGGATGCAAGTGCTACAGCCGGGCTCGCTGACGCGTTTCTCTTCGCTTTTACACTTTCTTCCCTATCATCTTTCTTGGTTTAGTTTTCTCAAACCATAAAATTCAGTATGATTTTTGCACATGCCTTTCACTCCTTATCTCTGGTTCTTGGCGCGCGCGTCTGGACTACATCCGATGGGAGCGTTCTTCCCCCGGACCCCCCCCCCCCCCAAGACGACCTGGCATTTGTTCTTTCTTCCTTTTTCCCCTCGTTTTGTTTCAATTTTTATTTCCGGCGGGAAGGGGGGGCCGGGGGAGGCGGGGGCACCTGGCTTCCATCCCACCATACCCTGAGTCACATTCCAACACGCTTGCCGTCGTGAGCCTTGGCGGGGTGCTCCATCTAGCGGCCCGTTTCTCGTCTGATCTCTCCAGAGTCTAGCTTTATCCTCGTCGGCTTTCTGTCAATTTTATTTATAACTCGAGTACACTCAAACTGACGACGGGCCAACATGAACGGCCGATGCACCATTAAGCAACTGATATGCGGATGCTCTGTTCGATGTGCTGGATGCAGTCGTTGAAAGGGGTCCAAGCTCCATTCGCAAGAGGCTTGCTTGGTCGGTACCAAACACGGAGCTGCCTCCGAGACCGCAAAGCCGCGAGGGGCACCCGGTAGATAGCACCTGGGGTAACAAATAGATGTCATGAGTTGCTCACAAAGCGATACTTGCCGATACGAAAAGAAAAGGCGTTTTCCCCTCAGAACGTCACCTTTGCCAGGTTTGGCGCCAATCTTCTACAGCAACCATCAAGTTCGCCCGCAGCACAGCAACGGCTCGCTGCGCTGGCAAAAGAAGACAAAGCCGGAAACGACATGGGTCGTTGTGTACTTGGAGATAGCCAGCTACCACCTACCAGCTTTGCGAGGGTTGCAAGGTGACGCACCAAAACAACCACGTCGAGCAAAGATGGTGGTGGTTGTGCAGCATCTGGGGGTGTGATGGGTATCTGGGTAAGTAAGGCGTGAGGAGTAGAGTCGGATTGAACTACTACTGGCCGGGGTCACTCCTAGGTGTTGTCATTGGTCGCCATAGAAATGGCTAGTGGTGTGAAGGCTCCCACCGACCTGACGCGTGGGACTCTCAGGCTGGATCTGCTAGGGTGAGATAGATGGCGCTGCTGCTGCTAGTCGGATTTGCAAGGAAAGCCGCAGCCGCGCATCGAGGTGTGCCTCGCCCGTTGACTTGTCTCGGGGTGCGCCTTTCTAATAAATTCGGCAGCCTCGGGTGATGTGACAGTTGGAGAAGGCACTTGTACGGTGGTGGGACTTCAGTGTTTGCACCGGTGATGATAGGGTACCCATTGGAGACGTCGACATGTGCATCCCGCAAGTGATCATGTGAAATGGAATGTCGAGCCTTGCTCCAGATGACGAGACAGCCACTACGATAAGATGCTGGATCAAGGCCCAAAGCACCATGATCGATGACAAATTGCGCCATGGGACAAAGGCAGCGCCAACCAACCAAGTAGGCTGCGGATCTCTTCACCAGGCGAGATCCCACGGGGCCTGTTGTCCATGAGCGCGTTGTTGCGCCCATGTCTCCTTTCTGACGTGTTCGAGGTCAACTTGTCCTCGGCGTGACAGGCAACGGCGGCGGGCGAATGAAAGCGTGCCAGCGACATCGTCGAAATGTGTCGTGTGGCATACACCAGCAGTCACTTAAACTCGATAACGCGTCGGAAGGGGGGGGTCGAGGACCAACGCCAGCAGCGGCGCGGCGGCGCGGCGGCATGGGACGGCTCTTCTCGTTCCCTAACTCTTCCGATAAGGACCTTCTGATTTGATCGAAATCCTGGATGGGCAAGGGTGCAGACCAAGACTGGTTAGTTGGTTTGGCGATCGCCGGGGAGTGCTCATGAAAGGGGTGGAGGTTCTGGCGAGTACGGACGGTGGCTGGTGGGGTTGACCTCACCGGTGAGGGGCGGCGCGCAGGGACGGGACGGGACCGGTGAGAACAGGTGGGCAGGGTTCGCGGACGCGGGTGGTCCAAATATGAAGCGGGCCAACGTAGTGGTGTGCAGAAGTCGAGGATCGGAAGTACCTGGAGAAAAGGGGATCAGTTGGAACCGCGAAAAGCCGCCCGCGTTGTGTGATGTGGTGGGGGGGGGAAGTTGGGGAGAAAACTGTCACGTTGTGATTGTCCCAAAGAGCAATGTCTGCCTGCCAGTTGATCGCCTTGATTGTTGAATGCGTCATGCACGCAGCTTGAAATGGACAGTCCGAAACGGCCGTTGAGGATGAAGATGATGGTGCTGGGTAGCCACAGACAGCTGACGGCGCCCGAATATCTGTCTCGCTTAGCCGCCCAGAGGGTGTCGAGGTGGGCAGGAACGTGGCGGTGGTCGCCGGTCTGGACTTCCCTTAACCCCCTCTTTTCTCCTCATCTCATCTTGCCTTTTCTGACGAATGACTGCATGTCGACGATCCGGGGCCGGGAACCGGTGGGTGGGGCCAGTGTGCGCGTAACCTCCACCGATGCGGCCCCGACCACGGTCGTACGACCTCTCTCTCTCTTCTTGGCTCAATCCAGGGGTGCGCGTGATACGAAAACGTCGCCGTTCATGATGTTCGCCGTCATGTAACTTCTGGGCGCATTCGTGCCGCAGAACAGGCTTTCATATCTCAAATATTCTGGGACATGGTTGACACGATGGGGTCAACTTGGGCGTGCTGGGTTCTATTAGGGCCGAGGCCTGAAATAGCCTGATCTGGTCAGCTGGAAAATTGTAGTAGGACGGTAGACCTTCCCTTGTACCCGTGTTGCCCTTAAGCCGTTGGGTGTCCTTACATTTAGTCACACACTTGTTTTCAAACGGCGCCGTGTTGTCACGTGGTCGTCACCACTAGCCATATATTGAAAGCGCTTGTTTTATATGCATTGAGGAATATTGAGATCTGTCACAGGTCAGAGGTGCCCCTTATCGGGATTGACGTACCGTGATATTACATATGTACCGGGTGAACTTCCCCAGACCACTTGTGGGGGTTTAGAGCAAATATATCCATCAATGTGCATTGAAGAGGATCCTACTTTGGACCTTCTTCGAGTATTTTCGAGATGCGGAGCACTGTAGATACTCATCGACTTTGACCTAGCTTGCCCTGCTCTGAGGGGCTTAGACAGTTGACTCACGAGTATGGCTACATATCAAGTCCACGGACAATACATTGCGATAGAGTCGATTGTCTCTGCACAGAAATCATCTGGACTGGAGTATTTGAGTTTCTCGTTCAAGAAGAGCGTGCAATCCTATCGAGAAACCTTCCTGGTTCCAATATGCTGTTTGAAGGCCGAGGCAAACTAACCGACTCCAAAGTTTACTGGTTATACATATGTATATTAAGATTATTATTATGCATATACAATACAAGTCCCAGAAATCATGTAGTTGAACTATTTACATCCCTAGTCTACGGCCGGCCTGCGACTTATATCTAGGCTGGGGTGCCGTGAAGACCACGTCTAGCCGTGGCACCGAACCCTCCAAGGACGGTCTTCTTCCGCGTCTTTTCTTATACTGGGCGTTTGGTTGGGAGTCTGTCCGGGACCGAGTCCGCGTAGGGTAGATATCTATTAGCCAGTTCAAACTCGGTTATCGCAGAGAGTTAGGTGTAGGTTCTAGACTCTTGTGTTGGACTGTCAAGGCCGCCCGGTTCTTCGAATATCTAGCTCTGATCTCCTCATTACCCGAGGACGTTAACATGGACAAATCTAACCTGACGATAGAACAGACGGCGCGGTATCCGTACTAAATGCTCTTATAGTACATCGCGGGTCTTGACATGCGCGTACCATCATATTTCCTAGTTAGTGACCGATTCTTTCCTCCAAAAGCCCGCTTCTTCTATACTCATCACAACCATACACCATCTCTTGACCCTCATCATTTTCATTTCGACCTTTCTACCCCTTATAAACATGATCTTCCCTCTTCCCTCTTCCCATAGCGTTAGACCAATAGAAGACGTAGCATCGGCGTGAGCTAGAAGAGCATACTAGTTAATATATGAAGACAGGCAAGTTCGAGGCTCGACCAAGTAGCAGCGAGTCAACATACCGAGAGCTGTCTGACCGGGCAAGCGTATATGCAATGCGAGCGGTAAAACTCATTGGTGCGGACC